CCCAAAGATCTTGGGGGTGCGGAATACAAATGTACTCACATGTGCATAAACCGCAGGGAAAGTCACACACGGGTCCATAAAACAAGCACACATTTTCCAAGGCAAAGAGACAAGCTGGAGTAAGAGCAGAAATGGACAGATGGACAGAGGGACTAATGCTCCTGTATTGGAGAAAGGAGGTCTTCTATTTATTCATATACGTAGACAATACCGGTGGAGGTGGACAGATGACATGTGGCCCAATGGGTAGCCACAGAGCAAATGGACGGTAGAGATGGGCAAAGTCTGTCACAATCACAGGGAGAGGTGAGGCCGGCTGCACTGGTCTCCTAGGGCCAGCTTACCCAGCATCCGGCGAAGGTCACTGCAGTCACAAGCAAGCACCAAGGTGAGGGAGCCTGTGCCCACACAAATGTATTTCTCGACACACAGCTTCGTCCCGCGAGAAACCTAACCTAGCATTGGGCTTCCTCTCCCAGATGCACACTGCGCCAGGTTCCGACATGGAGCTGGCTCGACCCTTGGCCCACAATCTCATGGAATCTTCACCAACCGCGTGGAGAAAGAGTTGTCACCACACCCATTCTACACAGCAGAAGACCAACGATACAGGTTAAGCGATCTCCCAAGGTCACACAGCTGCTGAGCAGGACTCGATCTTCCCGCCACCGAGCCGCTCTGTCCATCCCAGCAGGCTCCTGGGATTGCACCCCAGCCACCACCCTGTACCGCCCGCCTGCCCTCTGCCTGTAGAAAGCAATCTTCCCATCTTGGCAGCCTGCTCTTGCCTCAGTCCAGGGCTCCGAGGCAAGGGCAGGTGCTGCTCATTTCCACAGCTTGTTCCTTTCATTTGCTCCAAGTCCAACCTGAGCGACACTCTGGGGAATTCCAGGGGGAAACTATCTAAGGAAATAAGCTGCTGTAGTTACACAAGCAGAAGGGAGCTAGGAAAGGCAGTGATAGGACTCGGCCGCTTGCAGCCATACGACCTACCCCGCCTACTAATGCACAACTGCACCAGCTTCGCACCACTCAACGGCACAATTCACTGTGCACCTGACTAATGAAATGCAAAATCACAGCCTCTGTGATCCCACACGTCAAGGGCAATAGCAGCACCACCACACACACACAGATCAACACAGATCAACACAGATCAACACACTCTCACCATATGATTTCATTTGGGTTTTGGGCAAGTTAAGTAACTGTGCTTCAACACCCTGCCGGAGGACAGCAGTGCTCTGGGCTCAGCCAAAATCAACAGGGAGAAGGCAAAGGACTTCAGGGGTTTTGCTTATTTCTTTGTGGTGCTGGGGATGGAACCTAGGGCCTCGTGCATGCTAGGCAAGCGCTCTACCACTGAGTGATACCCCCAGCCCAGACTGGTTTTTCAGCTGATTACAAATAGAGAGTACAAGTCTTCTTCTCCAGCCACAGAAGCCAGGGCACGAACATTCAGGGAGCCAGGGTCCTATCTGTGTTCTGGAAAACCAGCCCTAATTTGTGCAGCCAGAATTGTAGCTAAGAGAAGATGCTGTAGGGGAAGGGCGCGGACCGGTGCTCAGCCTGTCTTCTGGACGCTTCAGGGCACGACTTCCTCATCTTCCCCTGGCCTGTCTCCTTCCAGGCACTCCTGCACTCCTGGGAGGAAGGGTGACGTTTCTTGAGTGGCACATTTCTCCAAGGAGAGTTAGGTTTCCTCACTGCCACAGGCCAGGGGATGGAGAGGAATCTCACGCAGCACTCCCCCCAGGTCACGGCGATCGACTCCTTCCAGATACCCCACAGACGTGATCGCTGCAGACTCACACTGCTGACCATATTCGATCACCAATGCCAATAGTGCTCTGGGTATTGTGGCTGCAAACACCAAGGACTGCTGCCCAGAAGGCCTCCACTAACACCAGCGCACCCTGCAGTGACTCCTCGTTAATGCCCACCACCGTGACACTGAGAGCTGAGGACTGGGCCGTGCTGTCCCCAGAGGCAGGAGCTGGGGCAGTTTCCCGGAGTGCCAGTCTTGCCCTCGGGGTCTGACACGTCTACAGAGAGGGTGAGTCGGGTGGGGCACCTGAGGTGCCCCTCCTCAAGGGAGACATCCTGGCCCTGCACCCCGCCCAGGTTCAAGTCCTGGACATGCACCTCCTGACCCACCCCTACGCCAGCAGCCCCGTCAGTTCCCTCTTCCCCCTGCAGGCCTGGCCTGAGCGCTGAAGGACACACCTGAGTGTCCGTGCAGCCTGTGCCCGAGGCTGCCTCCTGTGACCAGCCTGCCAGCTGCTTTGCTACCTTGGCCTGACTGCAGAGTTAGGCTGCATCATCTTGACACATAATTATCTCCCCATTCTTAATCATCTGAGCTGCTCCCTAACGCACACTGGGCCTGGCTGCTTGGAGGCATCCTGAGTGGGGGAGGGGAGGAAGTACCCAAGGTCTGCCTCTGCTCTCCCTTCTGCTCTGTCCCTTACCTCCTGGCTCCCTGGGTCTGGAATGGGGCAGTGCTCAGACAGAGCTGACTCCCTCGCTAGCCTGGCCGCTAGGGCAAGGACAGCTCCATCTGGCCTGGGGTTGGTTGAGAGGAAAGGCCGTCAGGGCAAGAGAAACCCCACAGAGAGCAGGCCTCTGGTCCTTCTAACCACCTGGCTGTGCCCAGAGGTAAAAGGAAACTTCAAGGGCCCCATGAGCTCCTGCAGACCTCAACCGTCCTGCGTGGTCTTCCTGCTGCCACACCGCCACACTGCTGGAGGATGCACTGAGGGCAGACCCAACCCTGCTCTTGTCCCTTCCTGTCCAGATGCCTTCAGGGCTACTCTTGCTTTCAGGGAAAACCAAAAAAACCAAAAGCCAAAGCAAACCAAACCAAAACTTCTACCCTCCGTCCCTGTCCCAGCCCTGGCCTGCTCGCCTGCAACTCTGACCCTCTGCTTAGCCTTGCCTCCGAGACTTCCCTCTTGCCCACACACCCGTCCAAAGCCGGAAGGGCCTCTGGTCACAAGGTCGCCCAGTCAGATAGAATTTCAGGCTGCCATTGTCACTGCCTTTCTGCTCAGCTGTGCAAGGCCCCTCCTCAGAGAGGCTGCCTGGCAGTGACCCCACCCCCAGCTCCAGGGCTGTGGCGAGACCTCAGTCGACAATGGCGTCTGATGGGCCTTTCTGCTCTGTGGGTCGGTGCTCTCCATGCCCCCTCAGACTGTAAGCTCCTTGAGGCCACCAATCATATCTTGCTCTTCTTGGGAAACCCCTTCACTGAACCTTGAAGCTAATGTTCAGGAAGTTTCCCTGAGTTGAACTGACTCAAAACAATGAATGTGAGCAACTACTCCGGGCCACCCAGGCCCTGCCCTGGGTGGTGCTGGCCTCAGGCCTGTGCCCCACCATGCCTGGCCTCCCTTCACAGCCCACCATCAAAGCTCAGGCAGTGGAAGGCAGGCACGGCCCTATATGGGCCACCAGGGGAGAGGATAGAGAGGCTTCTGTGGCCTCCTTGGACGCCTGGCTCTGTCACACTCTAAACAATGCAGGTGGCTGAGGAGAAACCCTTAGGGTTTGAGGCAGCCTCTACCAAAGCTCTCAGAATGCCACAGAACTTGGCAGATCCAGAATATGGGAAGCCCCAGGGAGAGCTTGGACTTAGGGCCTTCACAAAGCCTCTCCCTGCCCGTCAGGGGTTGCCGCCAAAACAACCACAATGAAATTCAGTGAGTGGCAAGAGCCGTGGCGGCCAAATGGGTTTGGATATTTTGGAAGAAGGAGAAATAGAGCCAGACAAGCTGTTTCCCTGTGAAACGAGGCCATTAGGGCTTCTGGAAGGAGGCCAGCCCCAGGTCATCGCTGCCTCCCAGGCCGAGGCCTCTCCAACCTCTATCCCTTGCACTGGAGGCCAAGACGCTCGGGGCTCTTCCCTCCACCTGGGCCCAGGGAATCCAGGGTGTGGCCCAGGGACTGTCAGATTCATCTCTCCTCTCCATCTTTACTGCCTTACAATTCCCCCAACAAGGGCTCATCTATGCTCGGAATTCTTGAAAGAAAAAGGAGCTGCTGCCTGGCCACGATGCAGAGACAACAGGTATGAGCTGGGAGCATGCTGAGCCGGAGGGGTCTAGAACTATACCCTCTTCATGTTCATCTTTGGAGGATGGTGTTTCAGAGGGACACTGTTAAAATAACCCTACATCCTAAAGGACAGGAGGTTACTACTTCCCTGATGGGGACCGTGAGAGAACCGGAGCAGGAAGCAGGTCTCAGGGACTGGTGTCTGTTTGTCGGAATGTGCTGGCCCCTTGTCCTGGCTCCACGCGTCAGAAAAACAGACAAGTCACCAAGGGACCCCGATCCAGAGCGTCTGAGAAACACCTTGTCTGAGCTCGGCCCACCACTGTCCCCTTCTTTTCTCTCGGCCCACCTCCTCCATTCATTCCTATTCCGTTAACCCCTCCCCGCTAACAGCCTGGCCACATCTTGAGGCCTCTAGGGGGAGGAGGAAGCCAGAGTGCTGTCTGCTGTTGCAGAGCAGCGGAGTCAAGAACGGTCTCGGCCCAGCTCCCTGAGCGACTTCAGTGGGAGCGGGGTCCATGTGTTACAGAGAAAGGACGCTGGGTCAGCTGCAGGTGACAGCACCCCTCACCTTCGGACGGGCTGGGGTCGAGCGAGGACAGGAGGCTGGCCTCTCATGCTCAAGTCAGAGACGAGCTGTCCCCAGCCTCCCAGACCTTCTCGAGGTAAATGGCTCGTGCCTCTCCTGGCATCCTGCAGGGGTAGCCGGGGTGAGTGAGGCCCATTGGAAGGTGAGGCCTTCGGGGCTGAGCAGATGGTGAAGCTGGTAGCCCCACCAGCACCTCCCTCCTCTCTCCAGGAGCCAGCAGGGCAGTGGGGGGACCTGGGCTTTGCTGCTAAAACTGATCTCCCAGCAGAGCAGCTGCAAGGCCAGCGGAAACCGGAGCCCTGAGCCCAAGGACAAAGCACGCAAAAGGGGAAGCCAAACCTCTCCCGCCTCCTACCTTCATCACGTTTCCTCTTCTCACCATTGGAGCGAGGGATCCCCAGGATCCCATTGATGGAGTAGGATCCCACTGGGTCATTGGAGGCGCTGGAAACAGGAGGGGAGGCCGTGCTGGGAACTGGATGACAGGAAGGAGGAGACTCCATGAGGACAGCAGTTTTGATTAGAGGCCAAAGCCCCGAGGCTGAAGCAGAGCGAGGGTGAGGAGCCCATGTACTCCCCTCCGGCCTCTGAGGTCTAAGGGGGAGCACAGCGCCACACACCGAGGCCCTTTCCACTCCGTCGAGCCGGCAGTAAGTGGTGACCTGTTAGCCCAGGCCTCCTCCGCACCAGTGCCGACTCCATCAGACCCCGCCCTGCAGACATCTGGAGGGCACGGCTCCTGCAGTCCCAGGAGCTGGCAAAGCAGGTCCATGTTTCTGTCTCCCAGGCAGTCTTTCACAGTTGTGATTTAGAGTCTGGCCCTCTTAAGATCTCTCTGTCTCTCTCTCTGATTCTCTGGGAGACATAGGCCAGTCCTGAGGGATCAGTTCTCTTTCAGGAGTGTCTGGTTGTGAACTCACTAGAAAAGGTCCTAAATTTCCCTCAAGACATGGACGACTGAGCCCATTCACTGTGCGGTGACCAGCTCAAGCACAGCCCTGCCCAACCCTCTGTCCCAGGACACACTGTAACGCAGGCCTGGTAAACAATGGTTCGTGCCAACTCCAGGAGTGCTGGGACCAGCCATTTCTACTTCCTGCTGGTCAAGAGAGAAGAACACTGTTGCTAAGAGGTCCCAGGCCCTTGAACCCCAGGCCTCAACTACAGCCACGGCAGCACTGAGTACCCTTAGGCCAAAGAGCAGTCAGGCTGTGTGAGCCCTGGGCAGACACGTGTTGGCAGGTGTTCTGACAGCCTGGCCATGTCCAGGAGAGAGGCAGAGGCTACAGAGCAGCTGAGGTAGTTAAAGCGATCACGACAGGTGGAGGGAAAAAAAGCCATACAGGAGGGAAGCAAGAGCAGAGGGACAGATTCACAGCCACGTACAGGAGAGCAGAGGAGAGAAAGGGAGAGGCAGAGAGAAAGGAGGAAGAAGAGAGAAAAGCAAGTAAGAGAGTAGACATGAAAGAAAGAGGGACATAGAGGGAGATAGAATCAGACAAGATGATAGGAGGGAAGAAGAGGAAGAGGAGGGAAGAAGAAGAGGAAGAGGAGGAAAAACAAGAGGAGGAGGAGGGAGAAAATGCTACAAGAAAATGTGGGTTTAAAGAGAAAGAGAAGAATATTAAGCAGGGCAGAGGCCAAGCGAGCGGCACAGGGGAGCTGCGCCAACCGACCTCACTCGGAAGACCCACGCCTCTAGGAGTTCGGGGAGCAGATGGACTGGAAACATGGGGCCTGGGCCTTGTGGAGTGGAAGTCCCCGGGCCGGCCTGCATCCCCTGAGCTCCCTGGACAGGGCCAGCCTCCCACCTCCCCCGAGCCTGCTTACCGATGGTATGGCCGGAGGTACTCACTCCCGTGCCCGCCCCGTCTGGTGTTGGGTGGAAAGGCTGCTGAACTTTGGTCCGGATGATCCTGCAACGGCACCACACAGCATCACACATCGCACACGCGTCCCACCAGGCCGCAGCTCTGTCCTCACCCATCGCCCCCCGGGCCTGCCTTCCCTGCTGCCAGGCATAGGCATGAGCTCTGGGCAGAGCTCTCTGCGTGGCGTCCCGTCCTGCCCCGTGTTGCCTGAATTGCAGCTAGGGTTTTGGCAGCAAGGACTGGAAGGCAGGAGCACAGCATCTTCTCTTTTTGGGACATGGAGACTGGTTCTCCATTTTTCCCGCCTCAGCCTTGCAGGTGCGGGGGGTGGGGAGCCACCACTTCTCGGGTCTGGGGATCATTTTGGAGCTGGCTCCTCCAGAGCTGGGGGAGCAGGCGTGCTTTCCCATTCCTGACCCAGGGAGAGCAGGGGAAGGCTGGGCCCAGGAGACACTCTTGTCAGGACTCCCATGCTGCACGTGGTCCCTTTGCCATGGTCAAGCCTTACGCGACCTCCTCCTGCGCTCACTGACTGCTCTGAAACAAGCCAAAGCCATGCCCCATGCATCTGCTGGCTCAATGGCCTTATCAGGGTCACAACTTCTTCAACAGCCTGGCCGAAAAGCTTGGTGCCCGCGGGGCAGGAAGTCAAACCCTACACTGCTCAGCTGGGATGATCCTGCCTTCCAGTGAAGCAGAAAAGCCAGGGCTCAGGGACCTGCAAGGTCTACACAGGGGCCGGGAGCTCCCTCCACCCCAGTCCACGGTCTCCGACAGCTGACCCAAAGGCCCAGCCCACAGGCCTGGAGTGTGGGGGTTGGGAATAGGCCCAAAACAGCCAAGAGGGTAGGGATCAGGCAGTGGGCAGTGTGGCGGGTGAGGAGCTCCCCTTGCAAGGAGAGGGACGGGGCGGGTCACCGAGGAGGGTGCTTGACAGAGCGCCAAGGCACCCAGAGGCGCAGTGTGGAGGGTGCCCCCTTCTGCTCTGCCATCAGGAGGCCACATTGCCTTAGGCTCAGTCACTCAGCTTCTCTGCGCCTCGGTTTCTTCAAATGTAAAACAAAGGGCTCAACTACAGGGTCTCCAAGGTCTCCTTCCCCGGTAGGAGTAACACGACTGAGAGGAACAGACAAGGGAGAGGAAGGCAGTGTAGGAAGGTGCTGCGGAGGGCAGAGGCCAGTCTGGGGCCAGGTGAGCAGGAGGCTGCAGACCTCAGGCTTCGCCAGCCGCCAGGGACGCGGTGTGGAGCAAGGAGGAGGCAACAAGGCTGAAAATGAGGGTGCGATGGTGGAAACCGCTGCCTCCCACTCATTGGACACCTACTCTGCGCCAATAATGTGCAGACTTTCTATTACTGGTACGTACTTCTCTTAACCCACACAACAACCTGCAAAGTAGACACTGTTACCTGCATTCTGCAGGCTGGAAATCAAAGCCAGTGAGATCACTCAGTTTTACCTAGGCTCACCCTGCTGCTCAGGGCAGTCTGAACTCAGTCGCCTTCATCCACAATCTAATAGCCAGGTGTAGGGCATCTTAAACTGTGAGTACTTCCTCGAACTAGAGGAAACCCGAGCAAACCGACCCCAGGACACTGTCCAGGCAGTGCGGGATAAGGAACTGGACACAGGGAAGCAAAGGAAGAATTTGCAAGACACCACGAAGGCAGAATGGTCAGGACTTGACAACTAATGGGAGTTAGCCATAGCTCTAAAACCTCAGCTGTGTCACCCCTGGGGTGGTGACTGCTTTCATAGGGAAGTGGTGCTATGGGCCGCAGACAAGCAGCATGTGTGGTGCGCACAGCCAGGCATGACACACAGGCGAGAAGGGCTTTGCAGATGTCTCAGACAGGCGAGTTCAGAGGGCCGAGAGGCCTGCGTGGTACAAAGCGGTCTCACGTGTAAGAAGAAAACGAGAGATGAATGGACAAAGAAAGTGTGGTATTTGCACACAGTGGAGTACTACTCAGCCGTAAAGAAAGACGAACTAGTCATTTGCACCTTGAGACCATAATGTGAAATAGATCAGACACGCAAGCTTTCAAATCGCACGATTTCTCTCATGTGAGAAACCGAAAATATAAATAAACAACAAAGTAGGAAGTAGAGAGATACAGCACATCTTTCTCAAACGGGAAGAGACTAAGAGAGGGAAAAGGAGAGGAGAGGAGGAGGATGAAAAAAGGAACTAAGACGTGTCACGTACACACCCTGACTCCACACAGGAACGTAAACGTCGTGTAGTACAAACGTCCTAATAAGGGGAACGACACAAGCCACAGGGCCATCGGTGCCACAGCAGGGTCCACAAGGGTCGGGGGGCCAGGAGCGGGCAGGCGTGTCAGTCAGGACAGTCCTGGATGCAGGGTTGAGGGAGGGTTTTCCGGGGCAGCCAGGACCCCAGAGAGTTTGGCTGCTGAGGAGGAAAAAGCAGTGAAGAGCGGAACAACAGAGGGCGTGGGGGAGGGGCCCAGAGCTTCTCGAAGGAGCTCTTGCATCTGGGTGTGGTGGGCATGGTGGGAAGGCCAGCATTCGGGGGTCGAGGCGGGAGGACCAGGAGTGTGAGCCCAGCCTTGACAATGTAGGGACTAACTGAGATTTAGTGAAGACCCTAGGGGTTCAACCCCGGCACCCCTCATTCCATCCACACACAAAGAGCTTTCGCAGCCTGTAGCTCTCAGCCAACAGGAGGTGAGGTCACCTCGGAAGAGGTGGGGAGACAGCTCAGCCTGATCCCCCGGGAAGTATCACACAGTAGCTGAGGGCAGAAGGCTCATCTACAAGAAGAGCCGAGGGCCCTGAGCCCGAAGAATAGCTGTTCTGACTGAGGGCAGCACAAACTCCCGGGGCTCGGGGTCTGTGGGCAGCTCTGCTTGAGGGCATTGGCTCTGGACTAGGAGGGCCTGGCCGGGGCAGGCTGGGGCAGAGAAACGGACGGGGTGGTGGGGTTTGTCCGTGTCACCCAGAGCCCTGGTGCAGGTTTAGCCAGTGATGGGAACTCACTACTCCCTGACAGCGGAGCTGGGCAAGGCACCTGCTGCGTTACTGCTGCTCTTGTGTCCATCCAGGACCCGGCAGCCGGCTCTCGCCACGTCCCATAGGGGACCGCAGGGAACTTAGGAGCTGAGGCCTCGGAAGCCTGATGCACTCCTGCGTCCGCAGACGGCCATACGGCCTGTGGGAATCCCACCTCGGGCCGAGGGATGGAGTGAAACAGGTGCCCGGGGCAACTGCCCGGCTCCACTTCCCCATGTTTCCCTGCTTCCCTTCTCCAGCCCTTTTCTACGCTTGGCCCCCCAAGTCGGCCAGCACATCTCCGTCCTCCACAGCCCCCGTCTGAGGTCAGGTCCCCACACATGGACCCGGGAGGTCACCTCTCTACTAGGGGGCTTGTCATCCCCCATCTTCGTGGAAGGACCAGGTACTGCTCCCCACCCCCTCCCCAGCAAGCTTTCCTGCCGGGTGCTCTTTTCCTCCCCACTTCAGATGAGAGGGCTCTGTCTTCCTGAGTTGGAACCCCAGCTCTATTACTTGCTGCCTGGGAACCCCTTGGTGATTTCTCACTCCCTCATCTATAAAACAAGATAACACTGTTCTGCAATTTCTAGGACTATAGTGAGGACCAGCAGGACAACACACGCAAATGATTAGCATTAGTGGGCTCATGAAGGCCCACTGGCTTTATTACTCCTATGAGTGACCCTTAGGCCTGGCTGCTTTCAACACAGGGCTGAGCCTGGTACAGGCAGGAGAGCTCCCTCCCAACATTCCCTCGCTTGGTAAGGCACCGAATACACAGGAAACAGCAAGAGACACCCCAAAGAGAGGTTGTGTCAGAAAGACTTGAGGAGACAGACTGGGGACCGGGCTTGGCAGGAGGACACAGCAATGGCAGGGTGGTGGCAGGCTCTGGAGCAAAGGACGACAAGCAGAGGCGGCGGACAGGTCACGGCCCCTTTGGTTAAATTCCCAGGACGCCCCCTTCACTAGCTTGGGATCGCCACAGTCTCAAGGCTCTGTGAGTTGGAAGGTGACCGTGAGGGAGTCTCCCAGCAAGCTGCCAACTGGTGAAGACGGAGGGGAGGAGCTCCCCACCTCCCAGGAAAGCACGGGAGACCCCTACACCACTTCTGCTCCCACCTCCTGCCTCCCACCGCTTCCTCTGTGCTTCCTTCTCTGTCTCTCTCCCTGTCTTTCTCTGTCGCCTTTGTCTATCTGTCCATCTCCCTGCACCCTGAAGTCCCACCGTGACTGTGTGAGTTTATTGATTCCTGGGAGCTGGGGGAAGCAGGCGGCAGGGCTGGGGTGCAGGCTCAGGGATGGAAATAGAAGGCTATAAATTATTTGTGACAGGAAAGCAATAGTGGCAGAGTGCTGAGCACAAGTCCTGTGTCACTATTAGATTCCTTTTAGCCTGATGACACTGTAAAAAAGGTTAAGTGTCTGCTGGAATCGTACACCTGGGGGGCCGGGGCAGCCTGGGAGCAGAACAAGGCACCAAGAGCAGGTATATCAATTCTCTAGGCCAATAATATTCCTCTCATTGATCGCCACGGAAAGTTCAAAAATCTCATTACAGCCAGGCAGACCGGGAACTTTTTACAAATCAATAGAATGATATAATGTATGTATACTTAGTACAAATGTATCTATTCATCTATCCATCCATCCACGGTCTGCCTCAGGGTTTCCAAGTGAACCTACCTATCATATTATGTTATGTTATGTATGATATTGTAGTGCATTATATTATATGATAATAAATGGTGTGCAAAAACTCCCCGAGGTAGAGACAGAGAAGAGGTCCTATTAGCATCGGTGACCTCAGACAGCTCACTGTGGAAGGGGTAAGCATTTCTAAGACTGTGCTGGCAGGATTTCCAGGACCCATGCTTCCTCAGCAGAGGCTCCGGTGACAAGGCTGCTGTCCACTGCATGTCTGTCATGTGCTAAGCAGCACTCACAGTACTTGAAACAAGTAGTTCGCTTTTCTCTCAGTAGCCCATTTTGCAGACGCAAAGTCATCCATTTCAAAAATGCCAA